GCGGAGAGCCAGATGACGTAGAACACACTTTGTTTGCGTGTCACAGATGAGTAGTGATCCGTCAAGGATACCAAACTGAAATGGGTGTACCTTTTGAAGCAGAGAGCATGATGACGTCTCTGATATCAGGGAAAGAGGGGTGGAAAAGTGCATACAAGATTATAAGGCACATAATCGAGAACAAAGAAAAGGACGATAGAGAGAGAGAATAGTTGACAACGCAAGACAAAGGCACTCTCACTGAAGTAATGCGCAAGCGGTTCCAGTGGGAGATGCGACTAGAGGAGAGGTTTTAGCCGGTAAGAATCCGACATTCTGGAAAGACCAGAATCTCATGCAAGATTTCCTCTCCTCAGAAAAAAAAAAAAAAAAAAAAAAAAAAAAAAGATAGATAGATAGATAGATAGATAGATAGATAGATAGATAGATAGATAGATAGATAGATAGATAGATAGATAGATAGATAGATAGATAGATAGATAGATAGATAGATAGATAGATAGATAGATAGATAGATAGATAGATAGATAGATAGATAGATAGATAGATAGATAGATAGATAGATAGATAGATAGATAGATAGATAGATAGATAGATAGATAGATAGATAGATAGATAGATAGATAGATAGATAGATAGATAGATAGATAGATAGATAGATAGATAGATAGATAGATAGATAGATAGATAGATAGATAGATAGATAGATAGATAGATAGATAGATAGATAGATAGATAGATAGATAGATAGATAGATAGATAGATAGATAGATAGATAGATAGATAGATAGATAGATAGATAGATAGATAGATAGATAGATAGATAGATAGATAGATAGATAGATAGATAGATAGATAGATAGATAGATAGATAGATAGATAGATAGATAGATAGATAGATAGATAGATAGATAGATAGATAGATAGATAGATAGATAGATAGATAGATAGATAGATAGATAGATAGATAGATAGATAGATAGATAGATAGATAGATAGATAGATAGATAGATAGATAGATAGATAGATAGATAGATAGATAGATAGATAGATAGATAGATAGATAGATAGATAGATAGATAGATAGATAGATAGATAGATAGATAGATAGATAGATAGATAGATAGATAGATAGATAGATAGATAGATAGATAGATAGATAGATAGATAGATAGATAGATAGATAGATAGATAGATAGATAGATAGATAGATAGATAGATAGATAGATAGATAGATAGATAGATAGATAGATAGATAGATAGATAGATAGATAGATAGATAGATAGATAGATAGATAGATAGATAGATAGATAGATAGATAGATAGATAGATAGATAGATAGATAGATAGATAGATAGATAGATAGATAGATAGATAGATAGATAGATAGATAGATAGATAGATAGATAGATAGATAGATAGATAGATAGATAGATAGATAGATAGATAGATAGATAGATAGATAGATAGATAGATAGATAGATAGATAGATAGATAGATAGATAGATAGATAGATAGATAGATAGATAGATAGATAGATAGATAGATAGATAGATAGATAGATAGATAGATAGATAGATTGCAACGCGCGTTACAAGAAATGAGGGAGGAGGATGACATTGAATCTGCCACAACCTTTACGAATAAACTAGTCAAAATCTGTGATAAATCAATGCCAAAAAGAAAGCACGTTGGGAGGGGAAAACCAGTATACTGGTGGAATGAAGAAATTGCAGAACTACGTAAGGAATGCTTACGTAAAAGGAGAGTGTACACTAGAAATGCTAGAAGAAACCAGCCTCCAGAAAATCACCAATATTGGGAGGACTACAAGGAGAGTAAGAAAACACTGAGAAATGTAATTAAAAAAGCTAAGAGAGCCAGCTGGAAAACACTATGTGAAAGCATTGATGAAGACATCTATGGAGACGGATATAAGATAGTTATGAAGGGAATGATCGGAAATCCGCCTCGACATAAACTGACTATGCCAAAGATGGAGGAAGTAACAAATCACCTTTTTCCTGTCCACCTGCCTGTGATATTTGCCTGTGATAATAATACTAGATTTTTAAATTTTACTCTTGAAGAATTGAAAACTGCATGCGCTAAAATAAAGAATAATAAGGCGCCGGGCCCTGAAAACATTCCACCGGAGATAATCAAACAAGTAGTAGTAGAAAGACCAGAGTATGTACTGAAAGTATATAATGACCTTGCGAGTGAAGCGAACTTCCCAGCCGAATGGAAGAGAGCAAAACTGGTACTCATCAGAAAGGGAGACAAGCCGATTGATAACCCTGCATCGTATAGACCGATATGTCTATTAGATGTAGAAGGTAAGCTCTATGAACATCTATTATTAGCAAGGCTCAAGAGAGAACTGCTAAAAACGGGGGGCCTGTCTGATAACCAATATGGTTTTCGGGAAGGCCGTCAGACAGTTGATGCCATAAATCGAGTGACAGAAATCGCTGCCAATGCAGCAGCATACTCGCACTGTCACCGAAGACTTTGTGTGATGATAACCTTGGATGTGAAGAACGCATTCAATAGCGCTTCATGGCAGATAATTTTAAATGAATTGAGAAGAAGGGATATTGACGAAAGCTTGATAAGCATCTTATCATCATACTTGTCAGAAAGGCATGTGATACTTGAAGCAGATGAGTCCACTAAAATCATAAATATAAGCAGCGGTGTTCCACAGGGATCGGTACTCGGCCCTACGCTTTGGAATATTCTTTATGACGACCTACTGGAGCTAGAATTACCTGACGGTACCACACTGATTGGCTTTGCGGATGACATTGCTATGATAGTTGTTGCAAAAGATGAAGAGACCTTGATGAATACAGCGAATACTGCACTTATGCGAGTCACCAGCTGGATGGAACACAGAAGACTTCAACTAGCACCTGAAAAAACGGAGGCAGTCCTCCTCACCACGAAAAGGAAAATCAACCCCATAGAGTTCGTTGTTCAAGGCACCACAAATGGGATTAGTAGGGCAATCAAGTATCTAGGAGTATGGCTAGATACTAAACTCACTTTTTCTGAACACGTGAATAGATCCGTAGAAAAAGCAGAGAAAACTGTTGTAGCACTATCAAATCTGATGCCAAATGTCGGAGGACCCAGAGCATCTAAGAGGAGAACCCTCTCGAGCGTGATCCATTCCCAAATACTCTACGCAGCTCCAGTGTGGCATTCGGTTACCAGAAACAAGAAACTAGTCAACAAACTGTCGAGAATACAGCGGCTTATGTGCATTAGGGTATGTAGCGCCTACAGAACAATATCAGCGGAAGGAGTGGGAGTCATAGCAGGTATACCTCCAATCGAACTCTTGGTTGAAGAAAGGAAAAAAACCTACGATGGGGAAACGAAAACAGCAGCCAGAGCTGCGCTCATGGCTGGATGGCAAGACAAATGAAAACTGGAAAATATGGAAGATGGACTTGGCGACTGATACCTGACATCAAAACATGGATGAACAGACCATACGGGGAAGTTGATTATCACTTAACCCAAGCGCTCTCTGGACATGGTTGTTTTCGGAAGTACCTCTACGATAGAAGACGAGCAGAATCCAACAAATGCACTTACTGTGAAGAAATAGATGACGTGGAGCATACACTCTACGTATGTACTAGATGGCAGGACAGCAGGCGGAAGTACATGGAAGAAACAGGAAACATATTCAACCCACATAATATGATGAACAGCCTGGTGACCTCTGAGAGAGAATGGACTCGAACGTATGAAGTCATTCGACACATCATTGAAACTAAAGAAAGAGAACAGAGATAAATGAAGACCGCTCACTATATTGAAGAAATGCGAAAGCGGATACCAATATAGCGAGCCAGAAGAGAGGAGGGGTTTTAGTCGGTGAGAATCCGACACTCCCGACTTTGAAACCGGGGTCTTATGCAAGATTTCCCCTCCTCCACGCTAAAAAAAAAAAAAAAAAAGATAGATAGATAGATAGATAGATAGATAGATAGATAGATAGATAGATAGATAGATAGATAGATAGATAGATAGATAGATAGATAGGTGGCCAGGTAGCCGTGCGGACAGAGTGTCTATATTCTAATTCGCATTCGCTCGCCGGTCGTGGGTTCGATCCCCGTCGACTGCAGAAATTTTTCTGATGGCCCAAGAAAGTGTTTGGGATCACACGTTAAAAGGTAAGGCCCCCGTCATTCCTTGCTCGCACAAGACTTTCGAAGACTTTTGAGGGTTGCTCGTAAGGGGGCAACCGAATGACGGATAGAACAAATTTTAGAACAAAAAAAAATAGATAGATAGATAGATAGATAGATAGATAGATAGATAGATATATAGATAGATAGATAGATAGATAGATAGATAGATAGATAGATAGATAGATAGATAGATAGATAGATAGATAGATAGATAGATAGATAGATAGATAGATAGATAGATAGTTAGATAGATAGATAGATTGGGTCCAATTGGGGTAGTGATGCGAAAATATGACATTGCATCCTGCTAATGTCACTCAGCCTCTCCTACTCAATCCCATTTCTCACCTCCAAGTGGTGGACCTCGGGAACCCGAGCAACCCTGCCTTAGACTGGGTACCCAACCCCAGTGGACGACAGGGTCGGGGCAAACGAGATTGGGAGCCCTTATCCCAAGGTGTAACACCATCGTGCCAAGGGGATGCATGATACAGGGGTCAATGATGTGTCTTGAGCGATGCCTCGGATAACTGGCGACCTTCGAGGGAGTTTTTTAGCCTTAGCAGGGTACGGGCGCACTGCCCTGCTGGACAGTCAATTCGTCCCATGATCGTGGGAACAATATGGCAGATAAAGAAATAAAAAACAATCCAAACGAGGTGGTCGAAGCGAACACTTCGACTACCGAAAATAATAAAGATGGAGAAATGGCGTTAATCTTCAAGCCACAAGTGGATATCAGAAGAACTCCGCCTCTGGGTAGGAGACATTCTTTCGCAGAGTAGGACCAGAAGAGGAAGCCGGAAATTTTAGGCAACAAAGAAGGAGGAAACACGGGTTTAACAACTCAGGCGAGCAAACGCAAAAGAGGAGATATAACCCCAGAAAATTTGAAGCATCTTGCAGAAGATAAGGAGTGTTTCACAAAAGCTCTCGATAAGTTATTGATGCAAGTGAAGGTGCTGGACAAAATGGTTGGTGGAATTTACAAAGCAAAGAAAGAGTTACTAGAGTTGAGCGGCAGGATGACTTGCCAGGCAAACCAGTTACAAGAATATAGGAGGTGTCTTGATGCCCTGAGCGACGAAGGGGTGATAGATCAATTCATTTCCATGCAATCTCATACGATTGAAATGGTTAACATGAGTACCCAAGTCTCGGAAGAGGAACTGGAAAAGGAGCTACAAATTAGTAAGCATGAAACCATCACCAGAATCAAGGAGGTGTTGAGAGAGGATAAGGGATTTGATGCTCTGTTGGAAACAATTGATGAAGAGTGGCCTGATGAAGTTTTTCAATGTACTAGAATAGGTGGTGGAGAAATATCAAATATCAATAAGGGCGGAGACATAGTGATCATTGTTGACCCAAATAATGTTAAACGAGACAAAATGGTTGAGGCCCTAGAGGTCAAATTTCCGGAACTACCCAAACTGATTAAAGATAACGACGGACAGGTGGATTACGTATTGAATACAACAAAGACTTCGAGTAAAAATGGCATTGAGAAGGAGCAGACACAAGCACTTTTTGTGGTGCCGTGGGAGAGATGGAATCAAGAAAAAAGGGACTCAGGAGAAATGTATAAACATCTCCGAGAGGTTAAAGAAATCATGAAACTGTATTCCACGAACCAGTTAATGGCGATACTGAATGGGGACTCGATAGAAAATCAGTCTAGGAAAATCTTGGAATATGTCTTCTATAACTCTGATATCGAGGTCAGCGTAGTAGGGGCTAGTCCAGAGCAAACTGGGAAAGCTGCGTTCAAGCCGGGACCAGAGAGAGTTGTTGTCAGGTCTGAAGGGAAGTCGTATGCGGATCTCTTGAAAGATATTAAAAAGAATGTCGATGTCGACAAGTTGGGAATTCGAATCAAAAACATACGGAAGACTGGCAAAGGGGATCTAATGTTCGAGGTAGATGGTAACAGAAAGAAGGCAACTATATTCAAAGAGGAGATTAAAAATAAGGTCGATAATTCGGACATCAGAATCCATAGTCAAGAAACCCTATTACACGTCAATGACATAGATGCAACCATGGAGGCTGACGAGGTTATGGAAGAATTAGCAAAGGCGAGCGGGTCTCCAAGAACGGAGGACATCATTGTGAAATCGCTTAGGTCAAACGCAAGCGGTAGCCAGATAGCCGTAGTGGCGGTTCGAAACAGAGACATCGCCGACAGACTGATAATGGCGGGAAGAATTCGGGTTGGATGGGTAAACTGCAGGATAAGGAAGTGGGTGAGCCTAGTGAGGTGTTACAGATGCTTGCAGTATGGGCACCATACAAACGAGTGTAAGGGAGATGATCGAGCAGAAGACTGCAGAAACTGCGGTGGAAAATCTCACAAACAGAAGGATTGCGTGGAGAGACCATACTGCATAACGTGTGAAACTGAGGGGCACAGAAATAATCAAGCCAAATGTCCTGCCTACCGATCTCTGATGAGAGAAAAGGTGGGAGCAAATGCCAGAGGAAGAGCAACAGGAATCGGCAGGGCTCCTAAGGACAAAGGAAAGCAACAATGAACTATTTATGGCTAGTAAGGTCATCAAAATTTTACAAGTGAATCTGGGGCGGGCTTGGGCAGCACATGATCTGGCTTTTGCTGTTGCAGAGGAAAACAGCATCGATCTTATCCTTGTGAGTGAACCGAATAAAACAATTGTGCGTAGATCAGATTGGATTAGCGATAACAGGGAAGACGCTGGAGTCTTCTGCAAAAACAAAAACCTGGGAATTACAGGATATTCCAAATTTGATGGTGCTGTCCGACTGCATATGGAAAAAATTGACATTTACTGCTGTTACATCTCCCCGAATATAACAATTGATTCATTCAAGAGGGATTTTGATAATATCATGGAAGAAGCAAGAACACGAGAGCGTGAAGCGATCATATTGGGTGATTTCAATGCTAAGTTCCCGGCGTGGAGCTCTCCTAATGAAGATGGAAGAGGTAGATATATTGACGAATGGGCTGCTACACTGGATCTAGTTGTTATCAACAGAGGAAATACTCCAACTTTCGTTAGGGGGGACAGCAAATCATTCATAGACCTGACTCTTGCCACCAATAAAACAGCAAGGCAAATTAGTAACTGGAGGGTATCCGAAGAAGAATCGATGAGCCTGCATAGACACATATTTTTTGATGTCAAAACCACCGGTGAAAGTAAACCTAGGAATATGACACTGGGTCGAGATCATTTCGATCAAATGAAACTGAAGGAAGCCCTACGGCAAGGACTGAGCGCTTATGAGGGTCCGGAGACTGATAGGATCACTAGAATTATCAAGGAAGCTCAAGAAAGTTGCAAACATCGTGCGGGTAGTATCAGAAGACAAATACCATACTGGTGGAATACAGATATAGCGACCAAAAGAAACCAGTGCAATGTTGCGAGAAGAAGACTATCAAGAACAAGGAGAAATCAAGCCCAAAATGAAACCATTTCTCGAGAATACAAGCTCCTGAGGAAAGAACTGAAATCCTTGATAGGAGCTTCCAAAAGAAAACTATGGAATCAACTACGCGATGAGCTGGAACACGATATATGGGGACAGGGATATAAAATAGCTGTTAAACATCTAGGAATACCGCCAGTACCATATGAAATTGGAATGAGGAGGAAATTAGAAATCATTTCAGAACTGTTCTTCAGCGAGGCCGATATCTGGGAAAGAAATGCAGATGCAGCGAAAGCAGATCCATTCACAATGGAAGAAATAATCGTGGCGAGGGACAAGTTGAAGGTAGGAAAAGCAGCTGGATTAGATGGTATTTTCCCAGAGACTATCAAAGCAGCGATAGATGTGGCACCAGCAGTTATATTGAAACTGATGAATAGTCTCCTAGTGCAACAGAGATTTCCTCCTCAATGGAAGAGAGCGTGCGTGGTTCTCATACCAAAATCAAGATCTGCTGATATGGAGAGCGCCTCATCTTACAGACCTATATGTCTTCTTGACACCCTGGGAAAGCTTTATGAACTATTGATAAGAGAAAGGCTAGTAGCAGAATTAGACGCTAAGGAAGGCATATCAGTTACACAGTTCGGTTTTCGCAAAGGGTGCTCGACGATACAAGCTGTTCTGTGGGTAACTGAGGCAGCGAGACAGTCGAGTAAAAAATGGTGTGTTTTCGTGACCTTGGATGTTAAAAATGCCTTCAACACTGCCAGATGGAGTATTATAATACGCAGACTAAGAAACATCGGTGTTAGCGAGTATTTGATAAGTGTGATCGAAAACTATTTCTGTGGTCGGACTGTAGAGCTGCGGGGAGGAAACAGTATAGGCATTTCAGCTGGAGTCCCACAAGGCTCTGTACTTGGGCCAACCCTCTGGAACGTATTGTACGATGGTGTCTTGAGAATTACCTTACCTAGAGGCTGTAGAACAATTGCCTACGCAGATGATCTTGGACTTGTGGTGGAGGCGGAAAATAAGGAGGACATGGGCACATTGACAGATATCTCACTATCGATGATAGATAGATGGATAAGGAACAACCACTTGAAACTGGCACCGCATAAGACAGAAGCTGTTATCTTGAAAGGTCCTAGAAACCGGGAGGATATCGGTTTCAACCTTGGCAGTTTCCGAATCACACCGCAAAAAAGCGTGAAGTATCTTGGAGTATGGCTGGATGAAAAACTTTCATTCAAAGAACATATAAGGCAGGCTGTCAAGAAAGCGGAAGAAAGAGTCTCTGCCATATCGAGACTCATGCCAAACATTGGGGGGCCGACTTCGGAAAAAAGAAAAGTACTTGCCGGTGTAGCCCAATCAATTATAATGTACGGAGCCCCTATATGGGGAGAAGCTGCACGGATTAGAAAAAACAGGTTGATTGTGGAAGCTATCCAGCGCAAGTCACTACTGAGAGTCATATCAGCATATAAAACGACCTCCACCAAGGCGTTACAAGTTATTGCAGGGGTGCTCCCGATTGATTTGTTGATAGAAGAGGCGATAGAAGAATATAATGGCAGAAGGGCAGAACCACGGTGAATCGAAGGAAACCTGAGACCTAGATCACTTGATAAATGGCAGCGAAGGTGGGAGGAAACAAGAGACGTAGCTCAATGGACGAAATATCTAATTAGCGACGCGAAGGACTGGGTGAATTGTAAGCATAGAAAAGCTGAGTATTACTTATCTCAGTTCCTGACGGGTCACGGATCTTTCCGTACCTACACCTACCGCATTGGAAAGGTACCTGATGAAAATTGTTCATACTGTGAAGAAATTGATACTCCAGAACACACCATATTCGAGTGTTATAGATGGGACAGAGAGAGGACTCAATTTTGGATCGACTTTGGAGATAGGATCGATGTGCGAAACATCATACAAGAAATGGTGAGCAGTGAGAAGAAGTGGCAGAAGATACACAACTTTATAAGGGGAATAATGATAAAGAAAGAGAAGGAAGAACGGCTATTCCGTAGGTGATGGATGATCGGAGAATATAAATCTGCCTGTACTGATGTTATACCCACAAGGTAGTCCCAGTGCAAGGCAAAGGAGTCACTGAGGTGTGGTTTGGTGGGTAGGCAGAGACCTGCACTTTCGAGCTCTGAGTCCCACACTCCCTGTCGCGATGGAACCCAAGTGCAGGGGAAGAACATGAGTTTCCACACCTCGAGAAAAAAAAAAAAAAAAAAAAAAAAAGATAGATAGATAGATAGATAGATAGATAGATAGATAGATAGATAGATAGATAGATAGATAGATAGATAGATAGATAGATAGATAGATAGATAGATAGATAGATAGATAGATAGATAGATAGATAGATAGATAGATAGATAGATAGATAGATAGATAGATAGATAGATAGATAGATAGATAGATAGATAGATAGATAGATAGATAGATAGATAGATAGATAGATAGATAGATAGATAGATAGATAGATAGATAGATAGATAGATAGATAGATAGATAGATAGATAGATAGATAGATAGATAGATAGATAGATAGATAGATAGATAGATAGATAGATAGATAGATAGATAGATAGATAGATAGATAGATAGATAGATAGATAGATAGATAGATAGATAGATAGATAGATAGATAGATAGATAGATAGATAGATAGATAGATAGATAGATAGATAGATAGATAGATAGATAGATAGATAGATAGATAGATAGATAGATAGATAGATAGATAGATAGATAGATAGATAGATAGATAGATAGATAGATAGATAGATAGATAGATAGATAGATAGATAGATAGATAGATAGATAGATAGATAGATAGATAGATCACGCTTGACATCAAGAATGCTTTCAATACAGCCAAATGGAGCCTCATAATAAATAAACTGAAGGACTTAGGTATTAGCTGGTATCTGATTACGATCATAGAAAACTATTTCCATGGAAGAACCATAGAGCTCAAAGGACAAGAAAGCAGAAGCATGTCTATGGGAGTTCCACAGGGCTCGGTCCTTGGACCAACTCTGTGGAATATTCTGTACGATAGTGTATTGAGAACGAATCTGCCAGAGAACTGCGAAGCCATCGCATACGCAGACGACTTAGCCCTTATGGTGGAAGCAGACAGCCAAGAAAATCTCTGTACTGCAGCGGAAATCTCTCTAGCAATAATCCAAAAATGGATGGAAGAACATCATCTACAGTTGGCTCCTCACAAGACTGAGGCAATCATTATGAAAGGACCTAGAGATAGAGAAGGAATCCAATTCACAATTGGAGATACTACGGTTACTCCTCGAAGGCATATAAAATATCTTGGAATATGGTTAGACGATAAGGTGAACTTCAGAGAACATATAAGGAAGGTAACGAAAAAAGCAGAAGAGAGTATCGCTACGCTATCAAAGGTAATGCCCAATATAGGAGGCCCAATGTCAGATAAAAGGAAGATGCTGGGGGGAGTTGTACATTCAATCATGTTATACGGAGCTCCAATTTGGTCAGAAGTGACAGAACTCAAGAAATATAGAGACATGATGGAGGCTGTACAAAGAAAGACACTTTTAAGAATGGTCTCTGCATACCGCACAACGTCGACCAAGGCACTTCAGGTGATTGCTGGCGTTGTTCCCATAGATCTGCAAGTGATTGAGAGGGCTGAGACATTTGGAGCTGATGATGAATTTCTGAACGAGGTTAAGAAGAGAGCACGAGATAGATCGATCGAAAGATGGCAACAAAGGTGGGATGATACTAGGGATGTAGCAAGCTGGACCAAGGAACTCATTCCTGATATAAAAAGCTGGACAGAATGCGAGCATAAAAATACTGAGTATTTTTTAACCCAATTCTTGACCGGACACGGCTCATTTCGAACCTACACACATCGAATTGGGAAAGCCACGCATGAACTATGTCTCTATTGTGGAGAAGAGGACACACCGGCGCATACAGTCTTCGAATGTGATAGGTGGGTAAGAGAAAGGCAGTCTTTTATTCTTGATTACGGTGGAAATATCGGAGTAGGAAATATTATAAACGAAATGATGATAAATGAGGAGAACTGGAGAAAAATACATAATTATATAAAGAATATTATGAAAACAAAGGAAAAGGAGGAACGACAACTGGGACAGCTGTAAGGAGAAATTGATAGGCCAAATTGACCAGAGGGAGGAAGATTAGTCTTGCTGGGAGTCTTGATGTTATGTCTAACGACGATTCCAGGACACCAAGCGTGGCAAAACGAGGGGGAGTTTTAGGTGGTAGGCTAGCAACGAGGTTGCTAGAATCCACCATGCCTTCGTGTACGGTCATGAAAGGTATCTTCAGAAGATTTCTCCCCCTCAACAAAAAAAAAAAAAAAGATAGATAGATAGATAGATAGATAGATAGATAGATAGATAGATAGATAGATAGATAGATAGATAGATAGATAGATAGATAGATAGATAGATAGATAGATAGATAGATAGATAGATAGATAGATAGATAGATAGATAGATAGATAGATAGATAGATAGATAGATAGATAGATAGATAGATAGATAGATAGATAGATAGATAGATAGATAGATAGATAGATAGATAGATAGATAGATAGATAGATAGATAGATAGATAGATAGATAGATAGATAGATAGATAGATAGATAGATAGATAGATAGATAGATAGATAGATAGATAGATAGATAGATAGATAGATAGATCAGCAAGAAGGAATAACCGAGAAGTGAGTCAGCAACTTTGGGATGAATACAAAGAATGCAAAAAAGTGTTACAAAACAAAATTAAGAAATCCAAGCGTGACTGCTGGAGAACTATCTGTGATAATGTTGACTGTGATATCTGGGGGGATGGCTACAAAATTGTGATGAAAAGTTTGATTGGCTATCCACCCAGACTACAACTTCCAATGCAAACCGTGGAGAAGGTGGTAGACCACCTTTTTCCGGTACATAACGATGTGATTTTCAACTGTGATAGAACTGTGATATTTTTAAATTTTACCATAGATGAATTGAGGACAGCATGCATGAAAATGAAAGAAAAAAAAGCTCCAGGTCCTGGATGTATACCGACAGAAGTAATAAAAGCTCTGGCATTGAATGATCCAGAGTATGTATTGGCTGTATACAATAACTTAGCTAGCCGTGCAGAGTTCCCTATGGAATGGAAGCAAGCGAAGCTGGTGCTCTTGAAGAAAGCGGAAAAGCTTATTGAAAACCCGTCAGCACATAGGCCTATATGCTTATTGGATGTAGAGGGTAAACTTTACGAACAGATGATTCTCATTAGGCTGAAGAATGAAATAACACGAACAGGTGGACTTTCACCTATGCAGTTTGGGTTTAGAGAAGGGAAACAGACAGTCGATGCGATAGAGGAGGTATTAAACATAGCAAGAAGGGCAGGACAAGAATATAGTTGGGCACACCGGAGGTTATGTGCAATAATAACACTAGACATCAGGAACGCATTCAATAGTGCGAGCTGGCAGGAGATCCTAGAAGAGTTGAGAAGACGAGGAATAGACGAGAGCCTCACGAGTGTTATAAGATCTTACCTGTCAGATAGAGAAATCATCCTGGAGGCAGAGAATAGTATAAAGATGAGGACAGTTAACAGTGGAGTACCCCAAGGATCAGTACTGGGACCAACATTGTGGAACCTGCTTTATGATGGGCTGTTGAGGACGGAACAACCGACAGGAGTGACCCTGATAGGATTCGCAGATGACATTGCCATGGTAGTTGTTGCTAAAGGGGAAGAGAGTCTCATGAACTCAGCAAACATCTCACTGCAGCGTATATCAAACTGGCTGGTGAATAAACGACTCGAACTCGCACCGGAAAAAACAGAAGCAGCATTACTAACAACTAAGAGGAAAATGGATCCCATACACTTCGAGATAAACGGTGTGATAATTACTCCAACAAAATCATTGAAGTATTTAGGAGTCTGGATAGACACAAAACTTACCTTCGCAGAACATGTGGATAGAGTGACACAGAAGGTAGAGAAGACAATAGCAGCTCTCTCCGGGCTTTTGCCCAACATCGGAGGACCAAGGGCTTCCAAGCGAAGAATACTCCTAAGTGTAGCTCAATCACAGATACTATATGCCGCACCTGCCTGGCATACAGTAACTAATAATAAGAAACTGGTTTCGAAACTGACTAGCATACAACGTAAGCTGTGTATAAGAGTTTGCTCGGCCTATAGAACAATATCTTCAGAAGCAGCAGGGGTAATAGCCGGGGTACCTCCAATCGAGCTGATGATCGAAGAAAGGAAAGAAAAATACGAAGGAATAGCTGGTGTCGACGCGAAAAGAAACCTCATGACACGTTGGCAGATGTTGTGGAATAACGGTAAATTTGGAAGATGGACACATCAGCTGATACCAAGAATAGATGAATGGATCGATAGGCCGTACGGAGAAGTAGATTACTACATAACGCAAGCACTCTCTGGACATGGCTGTTTTAGAAAATACCTGTACGAGCGTAGGAAAAAAGACTGTGATAGCTGCCCTTACTGCGGTGACCAAGACGATGTCAACCACACGTTATTTGAATGTCAAAGATGGGATAGAATTCGGCAAGAATACTTGATTAGCGCAGGAACACAATTTGGAATGGTGAGCATGATGACATCTCTTATCTCGGGTGAAGGAGGATGGAAACGAGCATATACAGTTATCAGGAATATAATAGAAACCAAAGAGAACGAAGACAGAGAAAGGGACAGACAGAGGTGAACTAACTGATGCTATATTATGACAGCACTCTTACTGAAGCAATGCGAAAGCGGTCCCAGTAAGAGGAAGCTAGAATGAGGAGAGGTTTTAGTCGGTAGGAATCCGACACTCCCGGCATGCACGGGGTCTTATGCAAGATTTCCTCTCCTCAAAAAAAAAAAAAAAAAAAAAAAAAAAAGATAGATAGATAGATAGATAGATAGATAGATAGATAGATCGATAGATAGATAGATAGATAGATAGGATTGATTCTTATTAGAATTATGAGGTACCTTTTCACAAATACAAAGGTAGAAATCACAATGTTCGAACCTGCAGACAGAGATAATAAAAATTTGCCAATCTCAGCAGCGAGAACTCCACTAGGGGGAAACAAACAACAGAAGAAACCAAGACAAGACGCACTTCTCATCAAGATGGAAGGTAAGACATACGCCGATCTCCTCAGAACAGTTCGAGGAACAGTAAACCCCACTGATATAGGAGTCGACATCAAGGACATCATCAAGACCAGAAAAGGGGAACTGCTACTAACGGTGAAAAATGGATCCGACAAAACCGAAATTTTGAGAAAAGAACTGAGGGAAAAATTACCAGACGCACGCACAACTCTTCTAGTGAGCAAAAAAATTTTACACCTGAAGGATATGGATCATGCGGTGACAGTACAAGAAATTACTGAAGAGGTTTGCAAAGCAACTACAATAAACCCCAATTCCTTTGAAGTAAGAGCCGTGCGGCCAGCATATGGAAATCGGCAGAATGCTACGCTGGTTATGCGTAGGCAGATGCAAATAAACTCCTTCAGCTAGAAAAAATCAGAATCGGATGGACAAACTGTAGAATTTTCGAAAGAAAAGAAGATTTGAAATGTTATCGATGCTGGGAATACGGACACATCAAGGCAGATTGTAAAGGACCAGATAGAGAACACCTTTGCCTGAAATGTGGCAGAGAAGGACACAGGGCAAATGAATGCTCAAACGAACCTTACTGCGTTAAATGTCAAGAAGTGGGACACCAGAGTAGTTACCCAAAATGCAGGATGAAAGGGAACAGGGGAAACATGGAGGTACGACGTGAATCAATACATTAGAATTAAATTCCTACAGATAAATACGAATAGAAGCCGCCCAGCACACGACATGGCACTGGCAAATGCAAAGGAAATGGGAGTGGGAATGATTATAATGTCGGAACCGAATCGAAATGCCATAAAGAATAGAAAAGACTGGATACTTGACGAAGAACTGGATGCTGTAATCAAAGTAACTGATAACAACATACCTTTAAAAAAACAAGGACACGGCCATGGCTATACGTACGTTGCGACTAGTTGCTACACAATCTACAGCTGCTACTGCTCCGGAAATGATGAAATCCAAGACCTGGAAACCACACTCGAAGAAATTGGAGATCTTATACGGACTAACAAGGAGAGAGCAGTCATCGCTGGCGACTTCAATGCGAAATCCCCGCAGTGGGGCATGAATGTCACAGACAGACGGGGGCAAATGGTCACAGAGTGGATAGCAGCAAATGATTTTGTCATTGTGAATCAAGGAGACAAACCTACTTTCGAGAGACAAGACTACTCGTCAATATTAGACCTAACAATAGCGACGAATGATATCAAAACTCATATAACCCACTGGCAAGTGAGTAAGACAGAATCATTGAGCGACCACAAATATATTATCTTCGACATAACAGAGAAAAACCAGATCTGGATCTGGAAGTGAACAGGAAACTAAAGGTTGGCAAGTCAGAAAAATGGACAGAGAAAAATTGCAGAACGCGATCCAAGGAATACGAGATGAGGAAGTAACACCAGCTACGGTGGGAAACCTCACGAAGAATCTAGTCAAAATTTGTGATATATCAATGCCAAAGAGGAGACAAGTCAAGTGGGGAAAACCAATATACTGGTGGAACGATGAGATAGCGGAACACCGCAAAGGATGCGTTCGAAGACGAAGGATATACACTAGAAACGCAAGAAGGAACCCACCACGAGATAATAACCAACAATGGGAGGATTACAGAGAAAGCAGAAAGACGCTGAGAAATTGCATCAAGAAATCGAAGAAAGATAGTTGGAAGGCACTCTGCGAGAAAGTAGACGATGATATCTGGGGAGATGGGTAAAACATTGTTATGAAGGGGATCATTGGATACCCACCAAGACCAAAATTGACGTTACCAAAGATGAAAGAAGTAGTTAATCATCTCTTTCCTGAACATGAATCTGTGATATTTGACTGTGATATTAATGCTAGGTTTTTAGATTTTACTTTAGAAGAATTACAAGCTGCAGCGAGTAAATTGAAGGATAAGAAAGCACCTGGACCTGGAAGCATACCACCAGAGATTATAAAACAAGTTGCAATAGGACTTCCAGACTATACCCTGGCAGTGTACAATGCTCTTGCTAATGAAGCCATTTTCCCAGCGGAATGGAAGAAAGCGAAGATAACGCTCTTGAGAAAAGGAGATGAA